CGCAAAGAAGAACCAGCTGGCTGCGAGTGCTGCTGCTGCTTCCGCGCTGCTGCCGCTGCTGCTGTTGCTGCTGCTGCTGCTGCAGCAGCTGCTGCTGCTGCTGCTGCAGCGCGGCGGACTGACTGGTCGATGTTCTGCAGCACGAGCGCAGCAGCTTCCTGGAGTTCTTTGTGGCTGCGGGGGGCCAAATTCTCCCCGTCAATTTGCTGCAGCTGCTGCCCATTTGCTGCAGCATTAGCAGCAAACACTGCAGCATATTCTGGAAACCAGGCGCTGCACTCGTTGCCCCGAAAGTCCACGATCTGAGGTGTACAGACACCCCAACAGGCCCCACACGCAAGCCGCAACGCTCCGCAACGCCCAACGCCCCACACCAGCAGCAGCAGCAGCAGCAGCAGCAGCAACAGCGGCAGCAGCAACAGCAGCAGCAGCAGCACCAACACGAGCAGCATCACCAGCAACAGCAGCAGCAGCAGCAACAGCAGCACCAGGTGCAACAGCAACAACAACAGCAACAGTAGAAGCAGCAGCAGCAGCAGCAGCAACAGCAGCAGCAGCAGCAGCAGCAGCAGCAGCAGCAGGGTCCGTACTGCGAGTTTGGAGAGTCCCTTGAGGTGTTCGATTTCTCGGAGGAAGTTCGAAGGCAAAGTGCTGATGCAATTGTAAGAAAGATCCAGCTGCCGCAAATTCGGCAGCAGCAGCAAACTTTCCAAATTTGCTTCTGCAGCAGCAGCAGCAGCAGCAGCAGCAGCAGCAGCAGCAAAACACGCGCTTTGCGCCCTTTACTCCCGCTTATTTGTTCATTTATTTGCAAATATATTTGCAAAGTTATTCGCAATTTAGTTTGAAATTAATTTAAAACTCGTTTAAGATTAATTTAGAATTTGTTGCAATTTATTTGCAAATCCATTTGCTGCTGCATGCACTAATTGGCGTCCACAACCCCACAAACAAACACGCAATACTGCTGCCAGCAGCAGCAGCAGCAGCAGCAGCTGCTGCTGCTGCTGCTGCTGCTGCTGCACTTGTTGAATCTGCAGAGTACTTTACAAAATGGAAATTTCAAAAAAGAAAATAAAAATAAAAGTGGATTGAAATTAAATGAATTTGCATTTTATTTATATTTGCATTTTATTTTAAAAAAAAATAAAACAAAAACTTCCTTTAAAGACTTATTCTGCATTCCTTTAAATGCAACTCTTCCAAAACTTCTCCAAAATTCCACAAAATAAATAAAATCAAATCAAATTAAATCAAATCAAATCAAATCAAATGAAGCAAATAAACATAAATGAGAATAAATCAAATTAAATCAAATCAAATCAAATCAAATAAACTTAAATCGAAACAAACCAAATCAAATCAAATAAAATCCAACCCAGCAAAACCAAAAAGACAAAACAAAACAAACAAACAAAACAAACAAAACAAATAAAACAAATCCAACAAACAAAACAGAACAACTCCACCAAATCCAACAAAAAAAGAAAACAAAAAAGAAAACAAAAAAGAAAACAAAAAAGAAAAAAGAAAAAGGACCTTTGATTCGGTTGTGGCTGAGGAGAAGTTCCTCGAGGTTGGGGATTCCGTGGAGGTCTGGGAGAGTTTGGAGTTGGTTTTTGGCTAAGTCCAAAGTGCGGAGGGAAGGAAGCTGCAGACTGACAGTTGTGAGGAGGTTGTTGGCGGCGCGGAGGACGCGGAGGCGCTTGCAGCCGCGGTGTACAGACACCGCAGCGCCCAAGTCCCGCAAGGCGTTGTTCGAAAGCTCCAAACGCAGCAAATCCGACAGCCGCAGCCGCGGGTCCAACAGCCCCTTTCCGGGCTCTCCCAAACTCTCGAGACAGAACAAATTTGAAGAGAAGTCCAGCGCCAGGTGCTGCTGCTCGGCCCAGCGAGGGCCCAGGAACTCCTCGAACACTTCGCCGTCCAGCTGCGAGAACTGCGCGGGCTCTTCTCCTGCTGCTGCTGCTGCTGCTGCTGCTGCTGCTGCTGCTGGTGATGATGATGGTGGTGATGCCATTGCGGGAGGGAAGTGGAGTCAAAACTGGTTTAAAAAGCACTAAAAGGGAACAGTATTCGGACAAGTCCCGAGACAAACGACCCCGGTTGACCCCCAGCTCGCCGAACTCGCCGGAGCTGCAGCGGCGCGCTGCTGCGGCCGCAGCCCCGCCTTCTGCGAATTAACTGCGGAGGAAATGCGAAACTCAAAATGACAGAAATTCAAAAAGTGATGGCGGAGAGTCTGCGGCGCGCAGACCCGCGCGGGACGGACGCTCAGCTGTACAGACACCGGGAGGAACAGCGAAACCACCAGCCCGGCCTGCCCGCCGAAAACTGCGGGAACTCGCGGGAAATGGAACTCTGGAGGGAAACAAAATAAACAAAGAAATAAAACAAACATAAAGGGAGAAGAAAAGGCAGAGAAGAACCCCAATTGCAGCGGCCCTTCCACGAAACGGCGGCTCGCTGGCGGTGGGGCCCCGGCCCAGACCACTGCGGCCGCCGGACCCCGCCGCTTCTTTTTCGCCGCATTTTCCGCTAAAATACCTTTTTAAAACTCCAAAATAAATTCATTAAAACTTTTAATTCTCCGTTTGCTGCTTTTTTTCCGCCGGAAAGCTGCAGCGCTGTCGGCAGCAGCCGACACTGCCGTCGGGTGTGTAGCTCAATGGTAGAGCGGCTGACTGCAGATCAGCAGGTTCATGGTTCAATTCCGTGCGCGCCCTCTCTTTTTCTCCCCTTTTTTCTTCTGCAAACAACTTAAAAAGGTTCCTTTTTGAAAATAACTCCTTTTGTTTTCTTTTTTCTTTCGAAAAAACCCCAAATTGCGCGAGATCGTGCAGCTTTCCGTTTTTGCGCGGAGCAGCAGCTGCGGGTGTGTAGCTCAATGGTAGAGCGGCTGACTGCAGATCAGCAGGTTCATGGTTCAATTCCGTGCGCGCCCTTTATTTAATTTCTTTTTTAAATAAATAATAAAAGATATTTCTTTTAAATTAAATAATAAAAGATATTTCTTTTAAATTCAAATAATAAAAGGTATTTCTTCTGCTTTTTATGCCTTCGCTGCTGCTCCAGTTCAATTCGCTTTCAGCGACGCCCCGGAACAGCAGCAGCAGCAGCAGCAGCAGCAGCAGCAGCAGCAGCAGGTCGGCTGCGCGTCTGGTGTACGTACACCGCGATGTTTCAGATAAATAACTAATCAAAAGAGTTTCTCAAGTTCCTCTTTCACTATTAGTATTTCTTTAGCTTCTGCTGCATGCAACACATCTGCAAAGAGCTCCAGAACAAAAAGGAATTAAAGATTTATTTTCAAAAACAAAATAAACCATTTTGGCTGCAGCAAATGCGCAAATGCTGCAGCAAAAAAAAAAATAATTTCAAATTAAAATTCTCTTTCTTATTTTCTTTTGCTGCAGGAGATGCCCAAGAAACTTTAAAATTAAAACTTTGAAAATAAAAAAAGATTCTTTTTAAAAAGTCAAAAAGCAAAGGAGTTTTAAAAAGAAAAAATCAAATTCAGAATTTGTTTTACTTAGTTGAACTTTTGGAAATAATTCATATTTGGAATTCATTTTTCTAGCATTAGTTTTTCTTTAACATTTATTTTCTTTGCTGCATTTAATTAATTAAAAGTCTTCTTCGGACTTGTCAAAAAACAAACTGGAAAAAGATTTTGAATCAATTTATCTTTTAGTTCTTTCTTTTTCTGCAACAAATGAAATCAATTTACAATTTAGTTTCCAATTAAAACAAATTTTCTAGTTTGGAAAAAGATCCTTTTCTTTCGTGATAAACTAGGAGAAGTCTTGTTGAAAATGCAACAAACAAGTCACCAACCAGGTCTTGCTGCTGCTGCTTCTGCTGCTGCTTCTGCTGCTGCTGCTGCTTCTGCTGCTTCTGCTGCTGCTGCTGCTGCTGCTGCTGCTGCTGCTGCTGCTGCTGCTGCTGCTGCTGCTGCTGCTGCTGTGCAGCGCCGCGGGTGTGTAGCTCAATGGTAGAGCGGCTGACTGCAGATCAGCAGGTTCATGGTTCAATTCCGTGCGCGCCCTTTTTCTTGTTTTGAAGAAAAGAATTATTCAAAATATTCTTTTTTTCTTTTTTTAAAACTTCAAAAAAGTCTTTTTGCTTTTTCTTTTTCCTCTTGAAAAGCTCCCTTCTGTGTAAGAGCTCCACCAAAAAAAAAGAAATTTGCTTTTTTCTTTTTTTTTGCTCTTGCGACTTTTCTCAGAAGCTCGGCGAAAGCAGCAGAGGCAGCAGCAAGCAGCAAGTGCAGCAGCAGGAGCAGCAGCAGCAGCAGCGCAGCAGCAGCAGCAGCAAGCAGCCAGGCGGCGCTTTGCTGCTGCCCGCCCGCAGCTAGCGACGCAGCTAGCTGCTGCTGCACGACTCAGCCGCGCAATCAGATTCAGCAGAAAACACCCACGGCACCCAGTCGCGCAGCTAGCTAGCTAGCTAGCTAGCTGGCTAGCTGGCTAGCTGGCTAGCTAGCTAGCTAGCTAGCTGGCTGGCTAGCTAGCTGCCTGACTGGTTTACTTGCTGCCTGGCTAGCTGGCTAGTGAGCTGGCTAGCCAGGCCAGGCTAGCTGCCTGGCTAGCAAGCCAGCTAGCCAGCCAGCTAGCTAGCCAGCTAGCCAGCTAGCTAGCTGGCTAGCTAGCTAGCCAGCCCGGGACTCCAACAGAAATGGCCCGTTGGCGCTGGCTAGCTGTCCCACGGGTGTGTAGCTCAATGGTAGAGCGGCCGACTGCAGATCGGCAGGTTCATGGTTCAATTCCGTGCGCGCCCTCTCGCTTTCCTGCTGCTGCTGCTGCTTTTGCTGCTGCTGCTGCTGCTGCTGCTGCTGCTGCTGCTGCTGCTGCTGCTTCCCCCCGCAGCTGCTTCTTTCGTAGTCCTCTGCTGAACAACAACCTCCGCTGGCGTTTGTCCCTTCCTTTTGCTGCTTGTTCTTTATTGAAGTATTTTCCTTTTTCTTATTTTTCGTTTAAATACAAAATTCCAACTTCTCCCGTGTCTATCTTAACAGCTTCCCCTTTATCTCAACAGCAAAAGGTCCTTAGGCCCTGGGGGCCCCCTTAGGGGCCCCCCTAGGGGCCCCCAGGGGCCCCGGGGCCCCCGAGGGTCCCCAGGACCTCACAGGGGAGGCAGCAGTGCAGGCGCACCGCTGTGGGGAAAGCAGCAGCAGCAACAGCAGCAGCAGCAGCAGCAGCAGCTGCAGCAGCAGCAGGCAGCGCTCGTGCTGCTGCTGCTGCTGCTGCTGTCAGCGAGAGGATTAGCAGAAGTGGTGCCCCTGCTGCTAGCCACAAGGGGGGCCCCTGTGGCTAGCAGCAGCAGGCAGGGGGGCCCCCGGGGGTAGCAGCAGCAGGGGGCAAGGGGGCCCCTGGGGGTAGCAGCAGCAAATAGTGAGTGGTGTTGCTGCAGCAGCAGCAGAGGGGGCCCCCAAGTTCAACTTGGGGCCTCTAGCTTTTGTCTTAGCAGCAAATGACAGCAGCAAATGAAAAGCTATTTGAGAAAAAGTTCCTTTTGAGGGTGAGATGGAATTTATTACTTTTTTTTGTGATTTTTCCCCTTTTTATTCTCTTGTGTTCTTTTTGCCACTCTTTTTCTCCCTTTTTGTCATTTTTTTATCCCTTTTTTGTCTTTATTTTCTCCTTTTTTGTCTGCCCTTTTCTCACAATTTGTTTTCTCTCTTTCTCTGTTTGCTTTTACAATAAAATACCTTTTTGTTTCCTAAACGTAACTTTAAGAACTATTGCCACTTGAGCAAGAACTTATTTATTCAACAATCTCTCGAACATAAACTCGAAGTTTAGAAAAAAAACAAAAACTAATTCCTTTATTTCAAATTCCACTTAAAGGGATTTGCAAAACTTGAAAAGACGCTTTGTAGTAGCGCGAGGCCACTCCAAAAGCTTTGAGTTTAATAAACAAAACTGAAAAGTAAAAAAATAAAATAAATTAAAGGGAAATTGAAAAACTTGCAAAGACATTTTGTAGGCAGCAGCACGAGTTGAAGAAACAAAACAAAAAAGGAAGAGAGTGAAAGCAACTGAAAAAAAATGCAGTAGCAGCATGAAGCCAAGAAACAACGATGGAAATGAAGATAACAGAAACAATTAAAAAAGAATATAATAAAACAACTAAAAAGGAAAATAATGAAACAAATTAAAAAGAATTGCAAAACTTGAAAAGGTATTCTGCTTCCAGGGGTGTGTAGCTCAATGGTAGAGCGGCTGACTGCAGATCAGCAGGTTCATGGTTCAATTCCGTGCGCGCCCTTTGCGAAAAGTTGCTGCAGCATTTTGCAAATTCATAAAGTTGAATCAAAAAAGCACCTTTTTGCTGCTCTCCAGCAGCTTTTGCTGCTGCTGCTGCAGCCCCAACAGGCTGCTTTCCAGAAAAGGCTTTTAAACCTTCTTCAGAGGAGGAAATTCATGCATGCAGGAAACGCATGCATGCAAAAAAAGGCATGCATGCATGCAGCTGCCACCGCAGCCCCATTTTCTGGCATGTAAAATCCCTTCTTATTCTCTCAAAACCCCCGAATTGGAAAAAAGGTCTAATTGCCAGCTAGCTGCCAGCTAGCTGCCTCACAAAAGGGCACTGCGGTCATTCTGCAGAAATCTGTGGTTCACTTCTGTTCAAGTTTATTCAAAAAAGTCATTAGATCGCATTTAGCGCATGCGCTGTGGCTCCAAATTGCTGCTGCAGCAGCTAGCTGCTGCCCCGCTGCAGCCAAGTCTTGCTGCTTTCTCCTTGGCGGGGTTTTCCCAAGGAGCTTCGCTCTAAGAAGTCCGCCAGGACTTGCAGTGCTGCAAATGGCTAGCTGCTGCAGCTGGCTAGCTGCTGCCAATGGCTAGCTGCTGCGAATGGCTAGCTAGCGCGCTGCACTCCCAGCTAGCCATTTCTACTACACACCCCAGCTGGCCACCCGCTGGCCCGCGGGTGTGTAGCTCAATGGTAGAGCGGCTGACTGCAGATCAGCAGGTTCATGGTTCAATTCCGTGCGCGCCCTGCTGCTTCCTTTTCGCTGCTGCAGCTCTCTTTACTTGTTGAAATTCAGAACTTGTTGCAGCAGAAAAGTCCTTTTCAGCGCCTCTTAGCGCCCATTTGCCACTTCATTTCTTCACTCAATCTCTACTCAGGCTGTCTTAATTGATATTAGATCCTAATTCGAAGTAACAGCTACCTAACAGCGTCTGGTCTTGTTACTTGTTGCTGCACATTGACTCAGTGTTCAGTCCTCTAAAATGCTATTATGTTTGATGCCATGTTGCTGTTGTTGTTGTTGTTGCAAACCTCCAAACATTGCATGCATGCTGCTGGTTTTGCGCTTTTCTATTTCGTTTTTATTTCGTTTTTATTTCGTGCAGAGATGCAAAGCTGTTTTCGAAAGCTTTGATTCGTCTTTGGCGCAGCTGCACCTCCACCTGGGCCACAGAAAAGCTTTCAGCAAAGGAAAAGAGTAAACAGATTTGTTTGTCTAAGTCGGATCTTTTGGAAAAAGAAAGAAGTTTCGATGGAGGAAAGGAAAAGAGTAAACAGATTTGTTCGTCTAAGTCGGATCTTTTGGAAAAAGAAAGAAGTTTCCATGGAGGAAAGGAAAAGAATAAACAGATTTGTTTGTCTAAGTCGGATCTTTTGGAAAAAGAAAGAAGTTTCGATGGAACTGAAGAAAACAAAACCAGCTAAGTGGAATCCGCACGCGTTGGGCGCCTGCTGGTGGCTGTGGCTTTCCCGCGAGACGACTGTGCCTGCGCAGTGAGATCAGCTGCTGCGATTCGCAGCTGCATTCCCTTTAGAATTTCTTTTTTATTAAACTATAATGCAACTTAAATACACAATTGAGTCTGCGACTTGGCTAAGGCCGCTGAGCACTGATCAACTCGCAGAAACCTCCCGTCTTCCATCTTCATTTCGAACAATGCCGGGTCTTGTTCTGCTTTCGAGGGGCAGTTGCGTCTTCGGAAAGTCAGCAGCGGCACATTAGTAAAAAAAATGGATCAAATCAAACAGTGTGGCGAGATATGAAGTCAACGAAACGCTCTGACACAACACGCAAGACAGCAGCATCCGCCACATGCATGCGGCTTGCAACTGTGTACTGCTAATTCCCTTACTTACCCCGGCACTGCATGCACTGCTGGCCACAAAAAAGAAGCCAAGGTGATAGCAGAACCAAGAAAATGTAAGCAGCAGCAGCAGAAGACCGGGAAAAACGGAACGGTTGCACCAGCAGACCCGCAGCAGCAGCAGCAGCAGCAGGCCGATAGAAACAAAATGGTTGCACCGGCAGACCCGCAGCAGCAGCAGCAGCAGCAGCAGAATGCACCGCTGGAAGAATTCTACTTTGCACGAAATTTGGTGCACGCAAATGCATGCAAAGCCTTACGGGCATACAGTGACGGGTTGACACAAGATGCTCCTGCAGTGCTTCCCGTCCTGCAATCCACAGAACTCTACAAAGACACCCCGACGCCATTGTTGCTGTTCGATCTTTTTGAAAAATAAAAAGAGTGGAATATCCATTCACTTTTCCAGTTTTTTGGCGTTTCTGCACTGTCTTCAAAGCCAAGTGTTTCGCTGCGGGGGTACAACACTGGAGCCTTACTGGAGGACCCGAGCAACATGCTCGAGTTTCTTCTTAGCCGTCCAGTGAGTCAAAATGTCGATGATGCCCACGTAGTACAGCTTTGTGCGGTCAGTGCTCTGCATGCCGCCGAGGTCTCTGCTCCAGAAAGGCCTGTCGAAGTCTGTTCGAGCAGCAGCAAACAGACAACAAAACATGAATTTCGTCGCAATTCCGCGCCAAATTAACTCAAAAATCACCGAAAAGATGTAAAAATAATGCTCACCAGTCCCGCCACCGATAGATGAGGAAGAATTCATCAACCTGCACAAGTAAACTCACCACCCACCGCGAGCTAAGTCTCTGAGCGGCAATATAAAAGCCACCAACAAAAAGCTCCATGGAATCTTGACACGGAGTCAAAATGGCACTTAAATGATGCAAAACAAAGAATAATGCATATTAGTGCTTTCAAATATGCTTAAGCGACAGGCCACTGGTCTGATTTATGCCACGAGGATCAGCTGGGTGAATGAACGGCTCCAAGAAGTGCGCAGACACACAGTATGCAGTGAAAGAGTCCTTTAACCCTTTAGAAAAAAGATTTGATAGAGAAATAACAACACCAAATACTTACGTAGAGTGAGACGCGCGAAGCTCTTCGTCATTCAGTAGAAAGCCGTTCTGGCAGACGTTGGAATCTAGTGAAAAGTCATAAGCAGGAAAGCGCATCATTGGCCCTCAAACCACTCATGAGTAAGGACACTTAGCGAGCTGCCACAAAATGCTGCAACAGGATATCTGCTAGCTAATAGTAAGACTTCCAGTGCTCTAGTGTGTATTGTAACTTTCTGAAATTGTATCAGTGCAATGGGCGGCCAAGTGCAGTGCGGGTGTTGCTGGGGCTGCAGCAGCCAAATAAATGCCTGAGACAAACCTTGTGAACAACTTGCATAGGAAATCCCTAGCAACAATGAGTAGTCCATGATTCCGTGGTCTCTTAGGAACGCCGCGTCAATTGTCAGCTGCTCGATAAACATTTTCTTTCGCTCTTGTCCGATTTCTATCTGCACAGAAGTAGCAAAACCCATATCGGAGAAGATCAAGAATCAACTAGGGAAAACTCTGCAATTTAAATGCAGACTGGCTCAAGGATGAGTGCAAAAAAGACACGGAGTCTGACTCCATGCAGTTGCTTCCATTTCGAAGCCCCTCACCCCAACGGAAAGTACTGCGTACCATCTCTCCATCTCGCGCCATATCATTGTCCTTTCTCGCCACTGTTGGGTCACTGCTCACAAACCTCTCCGAAAAACAAACCACTACCTTAATCTTAATCTTAAAGGCACTGTGAAAACTAGCTTGTCTAGAATAGCCCTTCAACTGCTGCCACTTCAGGCAGCCACGAACCTGCGAAGCTCTGGGGGGAGCGACCGGCCCTGTGTGGAGCCCTTGAGGTCGTAGCGGCGGTGGATTTCAACTGGGGTGTGGAAGAAGTTCTCCATCACCATGAAGTACGTTTTGCGCCTCCACGGCTCTGCATGCAAGGGCCGCCAATTAAGAATTGAAGCAAATCTCGCAGCTTTTCGAAACAAATAAAACAAGACCCGCAGCGCTCACAGCAGCCCCGACCAACCCACCCTTGCCTCCCAGAATCTGCCCAGATTTGTCTTTCAAACGAATCGCGTGAAGTCCACAAAGCCGCGTCAGCATCGTGTTGGAGCAAGTTGAGACGTGTTTGTAGTAGTCAAACAGAACAGACCGCATGAAAAATGCCGTTTCCTTCGACACCTGCCGAACACGCAAGCGCAGCACCGAAACTTCCCGAAAATACTGCAACAGCAGTTCATAAATACTCTCTGAGTATCATTACTTGTTTCAAAAGAAAGCCACAAACTGTTCGCAGCGCTCTCCACCAAATGGCGCCCACAGTTTTGATCATAAATCTGCCGTCGGTGGTGTAATAGAAGAGAGAACCGCTCTTGCCCTCCGAAACCAATTCGGAAAGCGACGACAAATTTCCTGCAAACAAGTTCCGATTTTCAAGAGTCTGTTAATTAAAATGGTTTGCATTCCTCTCCTCACCGGGGAACTTGAACGACTGCAGCTCAAGAAGCAGCCGTGAACGCCTACCTAAAATCAAATTGCCAAGCAGCTGCTCGGGCCCAACAGATCTGATGTAAAGAAGAGAATCAATGCCAAATATGGCGCGGAGGCGGCGAAAGACCATCGGGGCGTAGTCAATGAATCGGACCGCGCACTGCAGCAAAGAGGAAATAGTGTTAAGCAGTTCAACAACACAAGCCCCTTTCCCTCTGTCTCAGATCCATCGTGCTGCTCCCCCAGACTGATCTTCGTAAACATTAGGCTTTTCTTGTCCAAACAACTTTGTCATGAAGCTCACTAGAGGTGGCTTTCGGCGCTGCCTGTCCAGCATGCCAGTCTTGGGTAGCACTGAAAACTTTTCCTTCATCAAGAAGTCGTAGGGCTCGACAGCTCGGTGAGGTTCACTCATTGCGCGGCTCCCAGCCAGACGAATGCCGACCATTATGTTGATAACCATGTTCCACGACTCATGTCCGAAGTGAACTACAAAGCCCTTCGTGTCTTTGCCCCCCGCTCTGTTCACAGCCACACACAAAGGCTGGTGTCAGTAAGTACGCCTGTGCATGCAGCGCCTGCTGCTGCTCCTCACACAAATACTGGTGTCAGTAAGCACGACTGTGCATGCAGCAGCTGCTGCTGCTCCTCTGCGACGCGGACTGGAGCAGCTGAGATGACTTACTTCGAGGGCTCCAAGTCGTTTTCGTCTCCCCCATGAATGGTGTCGCCTGAGGCGCGGCGCCACTGTGTAGCTGCGATGCCGCATGCAAGAATTGTTAAACGCATTCGATGAAGTTCCGCGCGGTAAGAGAGAAATCAGAGGGGAAAACATGGTAAATGCACAAGTCTAAACGCAAGCAAATATATAAGAATCGCGAGATTGACGGGGCAAACATCGACCTCCTCAAAACTCGTATGTGCAAAGTGCTACGCAGCCTCATTTTCAAGTTCATTAAAAAAAATGAAGGAAAAACTCGGCAGATATCGCTGGAATTAAACTGCGCACTTCGGCGTTGGTAAACTTTGGCCCGATTCATGTACATGCGTCTGGTGCAAGTGGCTGGCCGGCGGCGGCTGCGGCAGCAGCACAAACACAAAGTGGAAACAGTAGCCATTAGGTAGATATGTTTAAACCTGAGCTCTATTCCACTACAGTAAGTCTATTAAGGAACGATATCCAGTTCTGAGCTCTTCTCCAGGTAGATGCGCTCAGATCTGAAGTCCTCCAGGGATATTTTGGTGCTCAGGGCTCACCTATCCAAGACGCTGACTGCTGCGAGACTTGGATTGGCGACTTTCTGCAAGCCCATCAATCCGCAATGCGCAGACACTTTCAAAGACAGGAGAGAAAAGCCAAGTCGAGTCGCAAAAAAACCCACAATTGCAACAGCGGGTCCGAAATTTTGTGGAATCAAGCTGGCACAGCTCACATGCTCGTCCACTTCATCCACGACAAAGTCCTTCAGGGGAAAATGAGCGGTGTTGGAGACTCTCACAGAGTGCATGTCAGGGTATTCCTGGAAGCAGCTTACTGAGGAAATTAAGCACAAAACCACAAGCCCTTGTTTCTCATTGAGTGGCTGAAGAGCAAGTGCACGGGTGAAATGAACACACAGCAAACAGTTCTTCCTCTCTACATGCCCACATTTCCTATTTCCCAGACTAAACTGCCAGACAGATAAAACAAATGAAGTGGAAAAAAGCCCCGCCAAAAACTCAGTTTCTGCGCCAGCCCATGTCCCGACCAGCCAGCCGAGCAGCAGTCGACGCTGGCCCACTTGTGTCTGGAAAAGAGCTGCTTTCCTTGCACTTGACCATGAAGGAAACTCTTTGTCGTCTGGGCGCCTCCGGCACCTGCGCTGCAACGCTGTTGGTTCGCGTGTCTTCCGGCGCCTCCGAAGTTCGCTGCTCTCCCGCCGTTTTCAGGGAAAAGATCGGACGCCGCACGCGAGCTGTTGGCTCTCGTTGGAAAGCAGGCCCCCCACTTTTGGTGGGTTCTTGCTGCATGGCGTCTGCTGCTTCCTTGCTGTTCATGTCCACGAGAAGCTGGTCTGCGATGTGCATTGGCTGGCAAATAGCCACGGTGCTCTCCTCCAAAATGCGGTTCAGCTGCTGCTCCGCCTGCTGCAGTGCAGCAAACGCTGCAGCAGCAGCAGCCGTTGCTGCCTCCTTCGTCGCATCCGCTGTCTCCGGCGATTTCTCAAGGCGTTGTAGAATGACACTGGGTCCTGCAAGGGCCGCACAGCAGCACAAAGTGCTGCAAGGCATGCTGCAGGGTCTAAAAGACTTCGGCTAGTCGAAAACAAATAGTGAAGGAACTATGGGGGCCGTGACTGCAGCAGCAATCCCGAAGCGGGCTGCTGTACTGACCTTGTGATTGCGTTTTCCTCGGAAGCATACAGTTTGCTGCCGCTTTGTTCGCAACCTCATTCCCTCGACTGGACTGCACCAAACAAACAGAGTGACAGACAGGGAAATCAATATTCACAACATAAAGAACAACAAAAAGCAAATCTGCAAAGGAAAAGGAACGCAAAGGGAAAGAGGGGGGGGCTCTGCAGTGCGCAGCACCCAGATCACGTGCACGCTGACTGGTTAAGGATCACACAAGTCAGACGGAGAGTGAGAAGCAGCAGTTAAGCAGTTATGTTGAGGGATTCACTAAAGCTTTTTCTTGACTCACTAAAGCTTTTTCTTGACTCACTAAAGCTTTTTCTTGACTCACTAAAGCTTTTTCTTGACTCAATAAAGCTTTTTCTTGGTCACCGCGAATAGGACTGCTGGTCAAACGACCAAACGCTTCGCCATCGCCGCAGGGCAAAGAGCGTCCGCCTTCTCGAATCATTTCCAAGGGCTCTGCGGGCGCTGGAGGCACGCCCTTTGCAGCCAACGCGGTCTTCACCGCCTCGACGTCGCGCTCCACAGCCCGAAGACTCTCAGCCAGCTGCTGGAGCTGCTCTCTTTGCTGCTGCTGCAGCTTCCACTGGTGGCGCTCGGCCTGAGCCTCCGCCTGGCGCACTCGGCGCACCAGCTCTATCCGCAAAGCAGAACTGGCCTCTGAAGGCGCTGGCGGGTTTCCTCCAACACATGGAGCTGCGGTGCCATCCCCGGAGAAAACGCTGTTCTTCTTTTCCGACTTCGTCGTGACCGACGCCTCTGTGCCACAGTCATTCCGCAGCCACACGAACACACTGACGCCCCTGGGTGCTGGGTGTCTTGTTTTCACATTGCTGAGAGTCGAAACACCCACAAATAATATTGCTTCAGTTCAGATAAAAGACTGCAGCAGATTTGCACGGAGAGCTTCTGCTGCTCTGGATGCCTCCCAAGAACTGACCAGACTCGCACGACGGGGTGGCAACGTTGTTGCAAGCGACCCCCAGAAGGCACAGGAAACGCGGGCTGGTGTGGACGGCTTTCTTGAAGTCCCTCAGCATCATTCGCCGCGAGCCGTCGGGCATTTCCGAAGCAAGCGGCAGAAACGTCATTGCGATCTCTTCGTCTGAAGCCAGGATGCCTTCCCCCCCCAACAAGGCGCGGCGGGAAGCCTGGAGGCACCTGACCAGATCTACGAACTCGTCCAGCCCCAGACTGTCCGCGTAAATCACGCTGCGGTAGATTTCGAACCAGCGCATCGCTCGCGGCAGGCGCACAGACTGCGTGGAAGTCAGCCCGCGAAGTGCTGACGCTTCCCTGCCTTTTTCTCCGGGATGGAAGTCCTTCCCCTTCGGCTTGGATAGAGAGCGCAGCTGATTGCCCGCCTCAGGAAGTTGTCTTCGCGAATCCGCAGAACAGTCACGCTCATCTTGGCTGTAGGGAAGCCCGCCCCCTGAAGCTGCCGGCCCACTCAAGGCCTGCCGCGGCGGCGATGCGTGGATGGACTCTTCTGAATCTGAAGTGCTCACGGAGTGGCACCGGTAGTCTTCAAGGCACTCCCCCGTTCCCGTGTAGCTTCACAAACGCAAAAACAAATTAAAACAATTATAATTCGCGGAACCGCTTTTGACGCGTCTTGTTGCAGTGAAACATTTGCAGGAGTGCAGGCAACGACGTCAGTGCTTGCTTCAGCGCCTCCAAATCTTTTGAAACCGACGCAAGCTTGGAGATGCACAAGAAATATGCAAAACTACTGCTATTCTCACAAACGAAGACATTAAACGAGGGAGAAAGACGCACGTTGGATTCAAAATTCGAAACGAAAGGTTCAGCTTCTGGTCGTCGGTTCCGCGCATCATGACGCCCAAAGCGGTGGCGAACTCCGTGAAGCTCAGCTGGCAAAGTGACAAGAAATGCACACGCCTGATAGCAGCATTAACGTCTGGCTGAGAGCCGAAGGTAGCAAACTTAATGATTCTATCAGTCCAATTGTCTCAGTGTGAGCCTCTTGCATCTAACAAGACAACTGCGTGTCCCATGAGCCTTGTGTCCGACAATTCTTATTCACCACTCATCCTCCTTCTGCAAGTGACAGCTGTTTAACTTGCAAGCTGGAATTAATGTGTTGGCTTAATTCGTCGCACCTCTCGGTCCTTGTTCTGATCAAAAGCTCGGAACATCCGCTCTGCGATCATCGTGTCGTCCAGCATTCCCAACACTCCCAAGGTGTCGCAAAACCGAGAGAATAGCAGGCGGCCGTCCGGAGCGTACTTGCGAAACCTGAAAAGATATATAAAGGCAAAAAAGTTGAAGTGAACAGAGCAAAAGGGTCTACTGCAGAGCCATCATTCGGAGTAGCAACCCTTCATCTCTCAGATAGATCAGGCACTAATCATGTTCATCCAGCGGCAAACACAAGGAAAGGAAATATGGCAAAAGATGTACGACGTAGAGCCACACGAACAGCTCCGAAAAGAGGAATCTGACGGCGCCCACTGCCCTAGGCTTCTGCGGCGTCACCTTGTATGGGAAAACGGCCAACACTGAAATGTCACTAAGAGAACTTCGGTAAACGCTGTAGAGCTCTGCAACAGCGCATGCAAGAACTTGGTGAAAATTCTTGTTGCGCGCACCTGTCGTACAAGCCCTGAATTTCCTTGAGCGTGAGAAGGGTGCTTCGCTGGATCTCGTCCGCCATGTCCGCCGGCACGCGCGACGGAAGCCGTTCGCTCTCCGCGGCTCTCCCCCCACAGCATTTGCCGAAGCGCGACATTTGGGGGGCCCCAGAGGCGAGGGTCAGGGGAGAAGAACCGGGGCCCTGCTCGGGCTGGACTCTGCAGGGCGAGAGGGGCGCGCTGGCCCGAACGAGCAAAGAGCAAAAGAAAGATTACGGACCCTGCAGAGCCGACGCCTGTCGCACAGCTGCAGTCCGCTGAGTGCCCTAAGCAGGCGCATCCTCAGGAGGAAAGCGCATGCAGAAAGGTGAAGTAATGCGGAAATGATAAAGCAAAGGCATATGCTGCAGGGCTTGCGCTACAGACACACGCAGAAAGCGTTCTTCCACGCATGCCCGACTTCCATATGCAGCGCTGCCGCCCCTCCGCTGGCAACTGGGGCCACTCCGCGGCAAGAAAGAGGCACGTGGGCTGAACCAGCTGTGGCTTATAAAATAGAAAGCAGGAGGCGATGTTCGCGCTTTTGCTGCAGCCACCTCTGGAGAGCACGCGGACCCTTGAGCTGGAGTCCAATGCGATTCAAGACATGTTTCGACTGAAAAGGGGGGAGAGAAGCGCAGTGGTCCTTCCTCTCCTGCTGGCCTCAGGCTGTGTAGAAGGTCCAAATCAGGCCCTTACTGCATTTGTAGCGCATTGCTGGCTACAGGCTGGTTCAAACAAACCGTGAGAACACGTGGAGGAATTCGAGCGAAGAGAGGCAGCGGAGGACAGTTAAAAACACAATTCGAGTGAAACAAATGCGAAGAAACGCAGTGATGCGCATAACACAGGGGATATGGAGTAAAGGCAAGGAAAATGAGAAAGGTTTCGTTGCCAATGGGCTTGAAGCAGCGGATGTCCAGTGGGTCGGCAGTTCGCCAGTCCCCTCACTTGATTCTTTCGGGGGTCAAACGATGCTCAAAACTTCCCCCAACTATAAAAAAGCTAAAGTGGACTGAAAAGAGTTCAAGCATTTCGCTGTTCTTTGCGTCTGTGGGCCACGACTCGCATGCCCACACCAAGGCCCCGACCGCTGTGCCTTTGGCCGCCAGTTTGAGCTCTGTGGAACAGACCAGCCTACTGGTAATGGCAGATTCAGGAAGCCGATTCAGGACTCATTGAAACAGCTAGTTTGAGGCTCTTGGAGAGCATTGCCGCAAAAGACATTGCACAGTCTGACCCCCAACGCTACTGCTCGCACATTTCAACCCAACGGTTCCCCTCTACAGTGGCTCAGCATGATATGATTATCGTTTTGCTACTTTTGCAGCTCATCAGAACAAATACGCCATTAAAACAAAGAGATTTGCGCACATGCAATGCATGGAAGCATGCGCCCCCTCCTCGCAGCATGGTGGCGACAGGCAAGAACCTGGAAAATGATTACACTGCCATTTACAGATCCCAGAAAAACAATAGATCATCACTGCTGAAGAGGACAGAAAAAGTTGTGGCCACTTTCCCACCCAACGTGGCGTCGGTGTGCGGCGGAGGGAACGGCTGGTCTGTTCGTACTGGGTGTTGAAGGTTCATGCTTCATCTTCGGATGGACCAGTTACTCAGGCAGCAACGAACTATTAACTTTGTTCTACTTCGTGTGTGTAGACTGCCGCCGTGTTTCTTCGCTCTTCCGTAGGGCCAAGGAGCCAGTCTGTGACACCGAAGTGCTTGCCCTACCTGGAGAACTGTAGGACACTCCGGGCAGTTCAAACGACAGGCGCCAATCGCAGGCCTCCGTCGTTGCGCCAGAGCTACTAGCGTTGAGACGCAGCTGCTGTAGCTCGACGGGAGAGGACTCCCCGAAGGGTGCAACCGCCACGACAAATTCTTTGTGGGCTTGCACACGGACGCAGCGATACGCCGCGTGGCCACGAAATTCTGCCTTTTGTGGTGCGCGCGTAGTTTCTAATAAGCTAAAGTCGTAAGGGTGCATTGTGCAAATGTAGCCTTCGACATTCGAAGCTATAGCTGGTAGCTAAGCGAGAAAAGCCAGCCGACACGTCTCAGAAAATCCCTACCCTAAAGTAAGTAGGCTGTGAGCCGTGCTCCAGAACCTGCGCGGCGTTGAAATATAGTATTCTCTATTCCTTTCGAGCATTTGGTGGATGCTCCTGGCAAGTTCAAGCTGGCATCCACCGCGGTTTGCAGCATCAAGCAGCGCTCACCATAATGTGCGGAGGGCCGCCTAGATGCCGCTGCACTCACAAGCCATTCATGCCCTGCCCGCAACTATCTTCGGTGTTTGCGAACAGATCCACCTGAACTAGTGAGCCGGCTGGCCACCAAGGCCCGCCATGCAACATGACGTAGCTGTGTTTACTTAAAAGTGCATGAGCAGTGACAGATTTACATTCCTGCGCCGAAGAGGCTATAATAACACGCCCAGCACATGGGATCTCGCAAAGTCCCGCTCACTCCGGCAACTGAAGGAACCACATCCGCTCCACAGCACGTTCGTCAACTTACTGTCCGCAGCCTAAGACGCAGCTCGGCCTCCACACAGCAGATAAACTTACGAGACGCGGAGCTCACCGTGCTCACAGCCATGCAGCAGCATACTGGGAGCTGCTTCCACTAACCAGTTTGCAGCCAAGCTCAACACGAGCTACCGAAGGGCGCAACGGCCGCAGCGTGCAGACGCTGCTGTAGATGACCTGTGTAACTCGGTCAAGCAGAATGGATCGAGCACGAGATTACGTACAGTACGTAGACAAATACGTACGTGCCTTTGCGGAAGCTTGTAAAACCTTGAGGTAGCTGAAAGGTGCTGGAGGCTCCCCAGGCTCCGTTTTTAACCTGCCCTACGCCGTTTAGCGAGTGTCTGTTAAGCTTTGGCAGGTGAGCCTTTGCAGCTTTCCTGAAAAACCAGCGTAACTAAAGCCTGCCTGCAGGTTTTACTCAGAGACGCATAAAAACATGCCTACTCAATGCCGACCTCGAAAATAGGAAGAACTTCGTTCGCTATGTAGTGTTGTCCCGACGCTATCTGTTGGTTCTGAAGGAAAGCTTGATAGGTAAAGATGTCGAGATTTCACAGGGCAATCTGCACAGCCAGCCAGCAGGATCACAGCTAGGCTCAAGAAATGCAGCTAGCAAACGGGAGAGCTTAAACATCGGGCCAAAAGGCGCCACCGCGGAGGTGAAATAAATTTGCAACCGTTAACAGGCAAGCAGTTTAACAGATCTAAAAACGTTAAAGGAGCACTCTGCTCTACACTGGCCTGCCTGCACTTCCTTTCCCCTGCTTGCTCCGCTCTGTCCTGCACAGACTTCCATAGGGCGCATCATCAAAAGAGAATTACTTTGCAGCGCTACCCTGCTGGATGACCCCAAGCAGAGGGGAAACTGCAAGAATAGTGCGTCAAGTGAAGGCGCTAGCTACAGAAGCTTCCGTGCTGCTCCTCGGAAGTGGGGGGCGAACACGTCACGAGGAGCTGCCGCTGCTGCTGTTGCCAGTATTTGTGCTGCTGTTGCCGCACACAGCATTGATCATGGCGTCCGTCGCGAACTCCGCGTGTATTTGGCGGCCCCCGAAGAATCTGCCGTTGAGTGCGTTCTGGGCGGCCAGAGCCACTGAAGGAGCTGTGAATTTAACAAAGACCCTTCCCTCCTCATCCTTCTCGCTGAGAGAAACCTGCACGACCGATCCGTGCTTCCCGCATTCCTCTCTCACGTCATCCCGGATATCTTCGAAGTAATATTCGTCGTCGGCAGCACTTGGGTTGAACATTCCCCTCAGCACAAGATTCGAAGTCATGACTCCCGGCGCCAGCCCCCCCACTCGAGGTCCGCTTGAACTGCGCAAGAACTGTTGCTAAAAACAGAAAACAGGCAAACAGCAGCAACACACAAAAGCTCAAAACCCCAACCACTACACATATCGCCCACAAAAAGATAGCTGCAGTGAGCCTCTACCTTCGAATGCAAAGCTTTCCTTCGAAGCCGCACTGCGTACCTTGTCTGTTGACGGAGAGGCCTGCACATGCTGCTGCTGCTGCGACTGCTGCTGGGAGTCGCTGGCGGTGGAGGCAGAGGTGCGCGCGCCGCCGGTGGACGCGAGCGCCGCAGTGGATCTGTCCATCAGTTTTTGCATAAGTGCCTGTTTGCGGGAAGGATCGTGAATGTATCCAATGTCATCATCATCGAGGCCTCCTTCATCGTCGCCGTCTTGCGCCTGGTTCGCGCCGTCCTGCACTGCCTGTGGCTGCTGCTGCCGCATGAGGCTGGCTGCCTTTTCAGCTAGCTGCTTCGCTAGCTGGGCTTCGTAGGAAACTTGCGTTGCTGCAACAACGTGCGGGGGGATCCCGGGGCCCCCCAGCATCCCCGGCATTCCCTGGGGCACTGCAATCCCTCCTGGAGGCGTGGTGGGCGAGCCCTCCGGGAGGGAGCCTGAAAGCCGCACTCCGTCTGCTGCGTATCCTACCCTGAGTTCCTGTCCGTCGAGCTTAAGTTCAAACAAGCCCTTCAACACTCGTGGGCGTCGCCGGTGGCGGAGAACATGATGAAGGCGAAGCCGACGCCTTCCCCCGTGTTCGGGTCCGTGGGAATGAGGATTTCTTGAATGGCGCCGAAGGGAGAAAAGAGCGCGTGCAGATCGTCTTTGGTCAAACTCGCGAGGTTCCCCACCAGCCCGCCGACGTACACCCGCATGGGAATCTGCAGCGAGGCCGCGTCGGGCGCGGGAGTGACTGGGCACTTGGCGGCTCTGGCGGCTCTGTTTTTTTCAGCCATTGAAGCCTGGACTCTGAGGGGCTGTCCTTTGAAGGAAATGCCGTTGAGCGCCATGGCTTTGATGACGGCTTCCTGGGTGTAGAACTCGACGTAGGCGACCCCCTTGGAAACGCCGGACCGCTGGTCTCGGATTTGTTGAATATCGCGGATTTTGCCGGCATTTGCGGAAAAGAATTCGTAAATGTGCCTTTCATCGGCTTTCAGCGACAAGTTCAGCACCAGCACCGTGAGATCGTCGCGCCGCGCCTCCTCCACCTCCTTGCGCCGCAGCTCTTCCTCCCGCTGCCGGCGCAGCAGCTCCTCGCGGGGCCCCAGCCGGGTGGCGCCGCTGCCCGCGGCGGCGCCCTCGCCGGGGGCCCCCGCAGCCGCGGCGCCGCCGGAGCCCCCGGG